GACGAGTATCATCGGGAGCGCTCGTTCCGCGTACGTGCATGTCTGAAATCGGTCTGCTATCAGAGCTGGAACCAAACAATAACTACTCGTACTCCTGCTCCTCGTCCTCTTCTTCATCCTCCTTCTTCTTCTCCCCTTTCTTCTTCATCTGCCTCTTCTCCTCTTTCACCTCCTGCTCCTTCTCTTCCTCCTTCTCCTCATCTTTCTCATCTTCGTGATCATCATCGTCCTTCTTCTCGCTCTCCACCCTTCCCTCTCCTGCTCGTCGTCCTTCTCTGTCTCCTCCCCCTCCTTCTCCGCCTGCTCCTTTTTCTCCTCCTTCTTCTCTTCCTCAGCCTCCTCCTTCTTCTCCTTCTCACTCCTTTTTCTTCTCCGCGCCCTCCTCCATGAAACCGCGCCCGCGCGCGCGGAATGTGAGTGCCGCGCCCGCATTCCTTTCGTGTCTATCGAGGAAGCTCTACGAGTTCCCGGCGGTAACCAAGGTTGACGGTTTACCGCCAGCTCCCTGTTTTTTGAAAGATGGTGATGGTTTTCTTGACTTAACTCGAGCTGCAGATGAGCTGCAGAGCTGTCCGGCACAGCACTCGCAAGAGAAGCATCAGAAGCGCTAGTCGGAAGTATCCAGATGCCCGAATTCGCTCCGCTGCCAGAGCTCGGAAGTATGCAGAAGCCCGAACTCGCTCTGATGATCTGGGCTTCACGTGCCTCCAGCTAGATGGGATGGACCATTTTCTTTGAATTGTTTTGTATTGTATCCAGAGTTATGATCGAGCTTACAATATCTTCCAAAAGGCATCATCAGTAGAGATCATGGAAAGTCACTGCATAGTTCCAGCAGTTCTTTTGTTAACGGTGCCGGTATAGGAGTGAGCGACGTGATTCGAGCCATGTTAGAAACATCAGGATTTTACTGAACCATTCTTCCAAAACCGACTCCAGGTCACCACGTTTTCTCTTCTGCCCAAGTCGGCCAACTAGCTACGGCCCGTCGCAGGAAGCCCCCGGCTCGGGTCGAACCGAAGGCTCTGCAGGGTGTGCGCGTTCTTGAGACGGAGTCGTAAATCGCCAGGAGTCCTCGAAAAACAGACCCCAGGTCGTCAGTCTGTCTCTGCTCTCCCTGTCCGCCAACGAGCTCTGCGCTGTCGCCGAATTCCTCCAGCTCTAGCCCGACGAAGAGCTTTGCGAGATACCCCAATTCCTCGAGTTGTGGTCTACCTAAGAGCTCTACGAGGTACTTCTGTAGTCCAAAACCCGGATAGCAGGGCGTCCGCAGGGCGTGGAAAGACTTGGCGAAGCGCACTGGAAGGACCTGGAGAGAGCTTCCGAAGGACCTTCTGGAGAGCTTCTGGGCACGCGCATTGGGAAACGCTTAGAAAATGCTTGCCGGGTCACGCTGCGGGTTCAAGCAACCCGCTCCGGGAGCCTTGACCGCCGCCGGAACGATGTTCGTCTTCTTATTCTGAAGCCCTCTTAGCCAAGGAGCTATCCGGGAAAAATATTAAGCGGAAAACAAAAGGAGTTCTCTATATTCTCAAACCCTCCGCACGCACGCGCGCACAAACATACGCGAGAACACGCGCGTGCGGACAAGCGCAAACGCTCAGACGCACACGCGCAAACGTGCGACTTGTGCAGTTGCTGGGAACGCGGCGTCGTCGTCCTCGTGGGCGAGGCGCAAGGGCTCCAAGGTTTCTTTTGGTCCTCTCCCTCTGACTCGTGCTCGCGTCCGTAGGTCAGCCCAAACGCGGCGAGGCAGTTCTCGGCTTGCCGGGCTCAGGCGGCGAACGCCAGAGGGTTCCGAGAGCGGGGCGCCAGCCTGGCGTCCGCTGTCACGGCGTCGGCGTCGAGCCCCCCACCCTCCCCCCGGCAGGGCGTGGAGACGTCTGCAGGAGGGAGGAGCCAGGTCGTGGAGAGCGGTGTGGTCCCCTCCCCAGGCGAACGCCGCGACCCCGTAATAATTAGGCGAGCCATTTGGAGTTCGTTGCAGCTTCGCCACGTTTACCACCTTTCCGATGAACAGCCTCTTGGGCGAGCCTCGGTACCCCCGCGTCCGCAGGCCAGATTCAGGAGGGGAAAAACACACGGACACAATTAATCGTCGATTCCCCAGGAAAATATGGGAAAATATAGGAAGTGGGGGGAAGACAGAAACCCAGAACATGTGGGAAAATATGTTTTTTTTTTTTTTTTTTATTAGTGTGTATTTGTTTGTGTGTCCCAGGCCCCCTTCAGCGAGATGGGTGAGGCGGTCTGCGAGTTTTTGCCAACTGGCTGCTGGGGAGGTGGATGCCGTGGAGCTTCTTTTCCTTCGCGGCAGTCTGTCACGGGTGGGTGCGCTCAGCTTCGACAAGGCGGCGTCTGCGGCGGGCCATGTGGTCTTGGCAAGTCTCAGCTTTCACCTCTGCGCGGGTCCGACGTAAACTGCTTAGTCGTCGTCGTCGTCGTCGTCGTCGTCGTCGTCGTCGTCGTCGTCGTCGCCATCGTCGTCGTCGTCGTCGTCGTTCGTGCAGGCCTCGGCAAGCTGCTTCGCGTAGCGGCCGAGGCGCTCCAGCACGGTGTTGGTCCTCGTCGGACACTGCGGCGGCGTCGTCTGAAGCGCTCGCGCTGGCAACAACATCAATGCCCAGTGTGGCCTCCATGAACTCGGTCTCGTCAGATGCCCCCGGGTCGGACGGGGCCATGGCCAGGCTCCTGAAACGCTTTGGGCGAGATGGCTTATGCTCGCGAGAAGCTGAGCGAGACTTCCCACTGCTGGGCGCCACAGAATGGGCTTGGGCGAGCTCCTACTGCCCAGTCGTTTCGAGTGCTGGGTCAGTGCTGTGGTTCCCGTCGTCGAGGGGAGGTGCGGCCCCTGCGGCCCCCATCGGGATGCTACTGATCAGGTGGTTCCCCCTCGTCTTGAGGAGCTGCCACTGGTTGGTGTTGTGGGGCGGGGGGCTGTGTTTCCCACCGACGGGCGCCGCTCGCCAGGGTGCGCGCTTCGCCCTGACAGGATCGGGCACCGCGGTCGCCACCGCGGGGGCCCCGAACTCCTGGGCGCCTAAGCGCGGCTGTCGGAGAAGCTCCTCTTATGAATCCTCCAGGTGGTTGGCCTGAGCGGCTGGCCGTCGTGTGTGTGTGTGTGTGTGTGTGTGTGTGTGTGTGTGTGTGTGTGTGTGTGTGTGTGTGTGTGTGTGTGTGTGTGTGTGTGTGTGTGTGTGTGTGTGTGTGCGTGTGTGTGTGTGTGTGTGTGTGTGTGTGTGTGTGTGTGTGTTGTGTGTGTGTGTGTGTGTGTGTGTGTGTGTGTGTGTGTGTGTGTGTGTGTGTGTGTGTGTGTGTGTGTGTGCGTGTGTGTGTGTGTGTGTGTGTGCTCCGTCTGCTTCGCCGTGAACTCGATCTCCTCGCCGTTGGGCCCGCGATCTCCTCGCCGTTGGGCCCCTCCGCGTCGACCGCCAGGCGACTGTCTGGAGCGGCCCCGTTGTCGCATGGGTGGGCCCTGCCCAGCGGGGTCAGCCACAGCGGGCCCTCAGGCCAGCCTCTGGTTGTTACTGCTGGGCGACTTTCCATTGGACTGACGCTGGGCGCTTCTGCCGGGCCTCCGCGTGTGGGTGGCGCAGAAGGCGACGAGAAGCGCGCTGGACTGAGACCTGCGGCTGGGGCGGGCGACCCTGTCCGTGCGGGGCCCCGACTCGCCTGCGTTCTCAGGGGTTCCGATGGCGGCCGCGGGGGTCGCCTGGTTGCCCGTTGCTCCTGGGCTTTCCGGGTGGCGTCCGGGGCTGCCGCTGCTGCTGCTGCTGCTGCTGCTGCTGCTGCTGCTGCTGCGAGCTCGCTGGCGCAGCCCCGCGAGCAAGCCGCTCTTTGCCGCGCAGCAGCAGCTGGCAGGGGCCGCGCGGTCCCCTGGCAGCTGCTGGGTGCCGCGCAGCGCGGCGCTGCGCCGCTCGGCGTCAGCTTCTGGGCCCCCCGATTCTTGCGGACATCCAGAGTGGGCCTCTGGATAATTTGGCCTTAGGGCAATTGAGGCCGCGCCCAAGGTTGACCCAGAAAGGTTTGAGCTCCAGAGCGGAATATAGAGAAAGAGAGAGAGAGAGAAATCTATATATATATATAGAGAGAGAAAAAAACAGAGAGATAGAAAGAGAGAGAGAGAGAGAGAGAGAGAGAGCGAGAGAGAGAGAGAGAGAGAGAGAAAGAAAGCGAGAGAGAGAGAGAGAAGGATAAGCACAAAAACAAGAGCTGGCAAGAGCAGAACATGAGGAGGGGAAAACCCGCGCAGTCTTGGGAGCTGAGAAAGCTCAGCGCTTATAGTAAACACATAAGCCACTACCAATTCGCCCGGCTGGTGCCCAGTTAGACTTCGGTAGTCCGTCGTAGATGCCGACAGTGGCGGCCCCCCTCCTCGTCCTTTTCGTCGTCGTCGTCGTCCTCCTCCTCCTCCTCCTGCTGCTCCTCCTCCCCTTGGCCGAGTCCTGTGTCCTGACTTGAGTTGGTCGGGAGCTGCGCCCCTACACCGCAATGCTGCTCACGCCCCGCGCGGGACAGGGTTCTTGTGCCCATACAGAAGATTTGTGCGCATTGCCTCATTCAGAGGGCCCGCCTGGTCGGTTCGGAAAGAGAACAGAAAAAGAGAGAGAGAGAGAGAGAGGAGAGAAGCAAAATGATAGGGGATCGATTCAATCATGCTACGCGCAAGACGACGGAGGCGTAGCCTGCATCCTTGCGTCCCCTTGATGCCTGCTGATTCTCGCCCGCTCCGTTGTCTGAAGCTCGTGCTCCGCTGGTCGGCTTCCGACCAACCGTGCTCGCTGCATGACGGTCGCTGGCAGCGGCGTTCGGTCCGGAGACAGGGAGAGGAAGCAGGAGGCAACCTGGAGGCAGCAGGAGGCAGGCAAAAGGAGGGAGGAGGGCGGCGGAGTAGGGCGGTGGAGGAGGCGAGGGGCGCGGGGCGCCGGCAGGGAGGGGAGGGACAGGGAGGGGAGGGTATGGGGGAGGGAGGGCGGGCGGGGGCAGGAGGACACGGAAGGCGGCCGTCCTGGTTCGGAGAGGGATGGCCCCAGCAGGCAGCGCTGCGCGCCGTGACCTCCCGTGCCCGTCGGCCCCGTGGGCGCCATGGGGATCCAAGGGCTGCAGCGCTGGATCGCGGAGTCGTTCCCGGAGGCGTTCTCCTCGCAGGTCGTCGGGGCGCACGTGCACCCTGAGATCTGGGCGTTGCAATGTTTTCGCGCTTGGCGTTTCCTCTGGTTTCGGGCCCCAGTGCCCTCCGTCGCGAAGAATGGGCTCTACGGCTCCCGTTGCGATACCTGGGGGGCCTGTGTGTGGGTGCAACCATGCGCAACCCGAAGCTTTACCATCGGGGCGCACGTGTAGTTAAAACGGTATCATTAGGATGAGTCACTTTCCAAGAGTACTCTGACATCCTCCCAGGCGGCCCAAATCGGGTCGAAGTAGCCGGGTTCGTCGGATCCTGCCGCATCTGCGATGCATTGGCGATGCGGCTCGATGTGGAGCCCGAGCTTCTCCACGCCGACGTCGATGACGCATCGCCGACGTCGCTGATGCAACGCCGATGCATTGGTGATGCATTGGCGATGCAGCGCGATCCTCCCCTCGGCCTGTCTCGACCCTTAGCCATGGCTTCAAGTTGGGCCTCCGAGGGCCATGCATCTTTGCCGCGCATCCTTGTGATCGGGTCGCGTCGCATCGGAAGTCCCCCCAAACGGATCGGTGGTCGCACCGTCGGGTGGAACAGCAGGGATTCGAACTGGCAGCGTGTTTTTTTTTCCCGTATGGCCTCCCGTACCCCTCGGTCGTTGAAAGTAGGTATTTTTGGATTCCCAGATTCCAATCTACTTTCAGCGCCTTCCTACTTCAAGAGTCGAGTGGTTTTCCCTCTCCCCTCCTCTTCAGGAGGCGGGGCGGAAACCCGATCTATTTCCAACGCCTTCCTACTTCATGTTTCTACCTACTTCTTCCGACCGATGGGTATGGCCTCCCGTATGGTCTTCCGCCCAGTCCCTCGTGTGGTCTCTAGTATGGTCTCCCGCATGGTCTCCCGCATGGTCTCCCGCATGTTCTCCCGAGTGGTCTCCCGCATGGTCTCCCGCATGGCCTCTCGTGTGGCTTCCCGCGCGGCCTCCCGCACGTCTTCCGGGCGGTCTCCCGCACGGCCTCCTGCACGGTCTCCCCCATTGGTCTCCCGTGTGGCCCGCGTGGTATCCCAGATTTCGTAATAAAAGGGAGGGGGTCTGGACCCTCCAAGACAAGCCATTTCAGACCCCCCCCCCGTGGGAGAACCCTCCAAAACATCGTCCCCAGACCCCCCCAGGCGCTCCAAGATAGCCTGGAAAAGACCCCCCCCGAAATGAGACCCCCCTCCCTTTATTACGAAATCTGGGGTATCTCGTTTGGTCTCCCGTGTGGTCACCCGAGTGATCTTCCTCGTGGTCCCCCGCATTGCCTTCCACATGTTCACTCGCACGGCCTTCGGCCTTCCATATGGGATCCCGTAGGTTCTCCCGCACGGTCTCCCGTGGGGTCGCCCATCTGATCTCCCGTATGGTGTTGCGTATGGGCTCCCGTATTGCATGACCTCCCGTATGGTTTCCCTCGTGGTCTCCTGCATGGCCTCCTGTACGGTCTCCTGCCCGGTCTTCCATTCGGTCTCCCATTCGGTCTCCTCTGGCACGCAGGTGCTTCTCCATAGTCTAGGTGTAGTACGCTTCGTCTCTGTAATACTCCGAATCGGTGTTCTCTTCAGCATTCTGAGATGTTGCCCAGTGCTGTTCGGGGTCTTCTGCCGCCAAGGGCGTACATTGGACTTGGGCCGTTGGGATCCAGCTGCCTACGGCAAGTCTCGCCACCGTGCTTGGTTTGTGGGTGCGAAGCCTATTGGATGTTCGTTGGGATCTCGTGGGAGGCCCCTAGGAGGCCTCTTGGAGGCAGTTTTGAGGCCCCTTGGGGGCCTCTTGGGGCCCATTGGGGGCCTCTTGGGGGCCTCCTGCGGGCCTCTTGGGGCGGAAGGCTCGGATTTTCTGTTAGTGCTCCCTCTGTTGGGCCCTTTTTGCAGCCGTCTCGGGGCCCTCTCGGGCCCCTCGGGGCGCCTCTTGGGCCGTCTTGCTGCGCTCTTAGATCGTCTTTGGGCTCCTCTTTGGGGGCCACTTGGGCCGTTTTGGGGTAGTCTTGGGGGCCTCTTGGGCCGCCTTGGAGCGTCGGAAAGCCGAAAAGGCGGGAATGCCACACTCCTTCGAACATCTGAGGAACATCGGGTCCTCTTGGGAGGCCTCTTGGAAGCCTCTTGTGGCGTCTTGGAGGCCTCATGGGTCATCTTGAACCCATCCTGGGCGTCTTCGAGCGATCGTTCGGCGACTCGGAGCCTCTTGGACCGTCTTGGGGGCCGCCTGGGCCGTCATGGAAGTTTGGAGAGCCCCAGGGAGGCGCCATGGCCGCCAAGGGAACCCTGGCAATAGGTGCGATTCCGTCAGGGAAATGTGACCAGGGGGGTGGGGGGGCCCTCAGAAGATTACAGAAGCCCTGCCAGGCAGCCTTTGGCATTCTTCCACGCCTCAACGTGCCGCAGGCACGGTGGCGGATTGGATGTCTTTGGCGACTGGGGTCTCCAGGGTTTCAAAGCCATGTGGACCTGAACGTGTGGTGATGTATTGCGAATGCTTTACGGCTTTTGCCGCCGACCCTGAACGACGACGGCGACAACGACGACGAAAATCGACGACGACGACGAGGACGACGACGACGTCGTCGACGACGACGACGACAACGACGACGACGACGAGGACGACGAAGACGACGACGACGACGACCTCGACGACGACGACGACGACGACGACGGCGACGACGACGACGACGACGACGACGACCACGACGACGACGACACGGCGCGGTGAGGTATTTTGGGATTTTGAGGTCACCGCACTGTTTGTCAGCAAATCATTTTGAGACCCCCCAGCGTCACGGGGGTCAACGCAAAGGGGGAGTCCGCCAATCTCTTCCGATCCGCTCTGGCTGACCAGGGGTTGGGAGCCATGTGGAGCTGATCCCCGTTCCCCGCCCTCCGCCGACATGGGTTTGGGAACTAATTGGTGACCAGCCCATGTTCGGGACTTGGCCTTGGCTGACCTTGGTTAGCGATGACCCTAGTGAGCGCGTCCCCGTGGCCAGGGAGAGCCGACTGAACATCAGCGATCGCTCCGATTCGGTGTCGATTCTGGCTGCCTCGAATTGATTTGGTTCCGATATTCCGACGATCCGATGCGGCCCGATGCTGGCACGGCGCGGCTTCGCACCTCGCGTGCAGCCGATCCGACTCGATCTCGACCCTGTGCCGACGCACCCCGATCCGACGAACTTTTCGATCTGATCCGATGTCCTGAGTCGATGCTGACTGATACGGGCGCCGGTCCCGTGCCTAGGGCCAGCTCATCTGCTTGCCTGGCGAGTTTCTGGAAGGCGTATCAGTGCACCTGACCTGTGCCCAGGGTGGGCCTGGCTGGGGCCCATACATCCGACGACCGACGATCTGTCTTTTTCACAATGCGCGGCGCCAGAGGTCCCGACCCGTTCCCCAGGACCAGTCTTTCGCCCCGATTTGTAGTTCACTAGTCACACACACATATATATATATATATACATCGGCGTTACAAAAGTTTCGTCATAAAATAAAAGTCGATCATCTTGCATAAGCAAAGACAAATCCCGCCCCGGTGGGATTTCTAGAACCGTGTGAATGCACGTCGGGATTTCAATATGTCCCGTTTTAAATCTATACTATTATAGTAAGGGATGAAATCCCACTTTCAGAAATCCCGGATATTTGATCCGACCGCTCTTGACTCAGTCCGCTAGGATTCTAGGGGGGAAGGGGGGGGCCCAGCTCGGCGCGGCCAGGGCAGTGGTCAGCCTCTGCCCGCTTGCTCACGCGGAAGGAAGACACGAAACCCATGCCACCTTCAAGCTCTCATGAAACGTGACGAACTTTTGTAACGGCGTAGTATATACATATATACATATATATAAATATAGATATACATATGCACATGCTTAATGTACATGTACATATGAACGGACGACGTGAAGACAACACATAATGCAGATCATCAGGCAATGAAATCATACAGACATTGAAGCACGTAAACAAGACACATACACAGCACAAGTTTTTGACTGCTGTGTGGCCTGATTACAGCCCTGAGCGGCCGACGTGTAGGAACAAAAAACGCCCAGCTCCTGCGTCGAGGTGTCCCTGGAGGCGGACCACGTCTACGTCGACATGAACACCATCCTCCACCAGATCCTGGAGGGCGCGGGCGGCTCTGGCGCCGACGAGGGCCAGTTCATGTCCGCCCTCGAGGCGCGCCTGGACCAGATCCTGGCCAGGGCCGTGCCCCGCGCGTCGGTGTTCCTCGCCGTCGACGGGCCTGCCGCCACCGCCAAGGTCGCCGAGCAGCGCCGCCGGCGCCGCCAGCGCTGCTCCAGGCTGGCGGTGGCCAGCGGCCCGCGCCGTGGCGGCGGCCGTGGCCGCGGGGGCGCGGGCGTCGCGGGCGCTCCCGCAGACGAGGGGAGCTGGCATGAGCACGAGCTTTCGGAGGGCCGCTCGGATCTCTTGGGTCGTTGCCTGGGCCCGTATCCATGGCGCGCGCAGCGCGCCAGGTTCGGCGCCTGGTGCCAGAGCCAGCGTTGGACCCCTGCCCACCTGGCGGCGCTTCTGGCGCCAGGTCCAGCGCCGATCCGGGAAGTCCGCGCGGGGGTTCGAAGCTGGAGAGTTTTTTGCCGGCTCTGGATGATCGGGCGTTGCCAGAGGTGCCCCCGGTCCAAGGCGTTCCCAGGATTTCCGTGGAGGCCTCTGCGGACTCCAGGCCCACGGAGGGCCCCGGGAGCCTCCGAATGGCAGCGGAAGCCGGGGACACCCGGGGCCGGGGCCACCTCTTCTGGCGTCGCCCAGCTGTGCTCTTCCAGGCGCAGCGGCTCCCGGGCGCGTGTCGGCCAACATGCTGACGCCCGGGGTGCCCTTCATGGAGCGCCTGTCCGCGGGCCTCCGCGCCTACTGCGAGGCGCGGCTGGGGCTGGCGCCGGGCCCGGGAGGGGCGGCGCCGTCCCGCTGGCCAGAGGGCGCGCGCGCGGCGGTGAGCGGTGCCTCGAGCGCCGGGGAGGGCGAGCACAAGATCCTCGCCGCCCTGCTCCGCAACGCGCGGGGTTCCAGAGGGGGCGGCGCGGCCGCCGCTGGGTCCCAGGGGCCGCCGCGGGTGCACGTGGTGATAGGCGGGGACGTCGACCTGCTGCTCCAGCCGCTGGCGCTCTGGGAAGGAAGCGCTGCACGGACACGGACTCCCGGAGGCCTGCGCGGACCTCTCGGAGCGGCGCTGGGCCCCCCCCCCCTCCCCCTGGCCCGCAGAGCGCGCCAGGGGCGGCGCCGGAGGCGCCGCCAGGGGGGCCCAGTGCCAGAGAACGCAGTCCGCACGGAGTCCCAAAAGTTGGTGCTTGTGCCGTTCTTCCTCTCTCTCTCTCTCTATAGGCGCCGAGGGGCCTGCTGGAGGGTTCGCAGGTGCTGATCGCTGCCCCGCCGCGGGGCCTCGCGGGGCCCCCGATGCGCGTCTGCGACGTGGGCAGGCTGGGTGCGGGCATCTGCGAGCGGTGGCGGCGGGCGCTGGACCTCTCCCAGCGGGCGGCGCTGGAGGAGGCGCCGCCGCCTGGCGGGCTGGCAGACGCGCTGGAGCTGGGCGTCCGGCGGGACTTCGTCCTCGTGGCGCTGATGCGCGGCAACGATTACCTGCCCCCCCTCTCGTCCTCGCAGGACCCCTGGAGGGGGCTTAAGTTGGGCTTGTCCCTCTACAGGGGGGATATTCCGAAATATTCAAAAAATAGTCAGGGGACGATTTTTACCCAACAGCTCTTGCTGATAGGTTTCTAGTGGTCTCAAAAGAGAGCATCATGACTCCTCAGGGGGGTCTGGGCGGGACCCGGGGAGGCCCCGGGGAGGCTGCCGCCGAAGCCGAAATCGCTTGGGACATCCTCGCAAAATCGCTCTTGGTGCTCCCAGAACTCCATTCCCGGGCCACATTTTGGATGCCCGGAGCCAACTGTAGGCCACTTCGTGCTCTTCGACTTCCCAGAACTCCATTCCCGGGCCACATTTTGGATGCCCGGAGCCAACTGTAGGCCACTTCGTGCTCTTCGATTCCCCAGAACTCCATTCCCGGGCCACATTTTGGATGCCCGGAGCCAACTGTAGGACACTTCGTGCTCTTCAAGTTCCCAGAACTCCATTCCTGGGCATGATTTTGAATGCCCGGAGCCAACTGTAGGCCACTTCGTGTTCTTCTAGTTCCCAGAACTCCATTCCTGGGCCACATTTTGAATGCTGAGGCAGGCTGATGCTGCGGCCGAGGCAGGCTGAGGCTGAGGCAGGCTGAGGCTGAGGCCGAGGCTGAAGGCAGACTGAGGCTGAGGCTGAAGCAGACTGAGGCTGAGGCTGAGGCAGGCTGAGGCTGAGGCTGAAGCAGGCTGATGCTGAGGCAGGCTGAGGCTGAGGCTGAGGCTGATGCAGGCTGAGGCTGAGGCAGGCTGAGGCTGAGGCCGAGGCTGAAGGCAGACTGAGGCTGAGGCTGAAGCAGGCTGAGGCTGAGGCTGAGGCAGGCTGAGGCTGAGGCAGGCTGAGGCTGAGGCTGAGGCAGGCTGAGGCTGAGGCTGTGACTGCGACTGCCGTTGCCGCTGCGACTGTCATCGCGAATGCGACTACGACTGCGAGAACAGCAGAATTCGACAGCTGGATTTTCATCTGAATCTTAAGGGGAATGCTTTCAGATATGCTTCTACACATCGCTGTTAGGTTGCTTTGCCGGATAATTTTGTAGTATTTTCGACCATTTGGGGGTATTTTTGGAGTATTTTCATTTTTCGCCCAGAATTCCCCCTGTAGGGGGACAGGCGCGACCTAAGAGTGGACCAACTGTGCACCAACATCGATCCCTAGCCAGGCCCATCCCGGGCCCAGTGTCGGCGCCTCCTATGCCTCCCTCGCCAACCCAGCAGTGCGCAGACACCGATCCTGGGCTCAGGGTGGGCCTCGCTTCGCTTCGCTTCGCTCCGCCCGGGGTGGGCCTGGCCCGGGTTGGTGTGGGCGTAGGCCCGGACGGGCCCCCGACGTCATGATTTTCTAACGATTCGGGGGTGGACAGAACCCCCAACAGTGACACGTCGATTGGTGAATTGTCCGTTTTCGGTTCTCAAGAGGGCGCCGCGGCCGTTATTTTCCAGGCTGGCGCCCGCCAGGTTAGGGCCTTCAGGTCGTCTTTCACTAAACCACGTTTTACTAAAGGGGGGTCTGTCCATCCCCGAACGATGTGGGCCCAGAGGTCTGAACCTCTTCCCGTGGACTGGCTTCTGGTCCCGAGCCGTTTTTTTGACGGTCCCTGGGCCCGGCGGGAGCCCTCGGAGGCCGACGGTGCAGTCCAGCAGCTCACGACGCGAGGGCGTCCGGGTGGGTGGCGTCCTCCTAAGACCGGGGGCGGAAAAGAGGGGGGTGATGACTAGGGGGGGGTGGATATCATGGCGCGGGCCATGATATTTCCCCAGATTTCATTGCGCCTCTTTTTATTTCATTACGTCCCTGGACCCCCGCTGGGCCGCGCACATGCCGCCGGTCATGATTTGCATCCCCCCTCTTGGACACCCCCCTCTTTGCCGCTCCCGACATGAGGATCCTGCGAGGCTCTGGGCCGCGTACCTCCGCTGGCGGCGCGGCCGCGAGCAGGGGGCTGGCGGCCTCGTGGGCGTGGAGGCAGGGCCCGCTCTGGTCCGATTCGATTCCGAGTTGAGATCGATTCAGACTGGCTCGGCCCGATTCGATTCCGATTCCCCAGAGATCCATCGGGTCGAACCAATCAAGACGGAGGTTTTCGCTGATCTCGAGGCCCCCGCCGCTCTCTGGGACCGTCGAGAATCGAGTCAGAATGCCAGGCCAGTCCCCGGGAGCGGGTCGAGATTTCGGGGACCCCGTCTCGAAAGTCGAGACATCGGATCTCTAGATACTCCGCCGATCCGAGGCGGTCCGACGCCTGCACTGCGCTGCGGTGCACCCCCGGCGTGGCCGATCCGACCCGATTCCGACCCCTTGCCACTGCGCACTGTTTTTCTGCTTCACAGTCGAGCGGGTGTACTTAAGATTGGAGAGGCCTGAGTGGGAGGAGGAGGAGGAGGAGGAGGAGGAGGAGGAGGAGGAGGAGGAGGAGGAGGAGGAGGACGAGGAGGAGGAGGAGGAGGAGGAGGAGGAGGAGGAGGAGGAGGAGGAGGAGGAGGAGGAGGAGGAGGAGGACGAGGAGGAGGAGGAGGAGGAGGAGGAGGAGGAGGGGGAGGGGGAAGATTTCCACGAAAAGCTGCCAATCGTGCACTCTTCTGCCCACGCGTCCTTCTGGATGCTCGGCTCGGCCATGCCGTGCCGTGGTGCGATTCTTCCGCCTCTGCGCCGCTCAGCGCCTGGCTGCGGTCTGTCTCTCTGTCGGCCCCCGGCGGCCCGATTCGGTGTGCACTCCGATTCGACCTCGACGTCCCGAGACGATGCTCACCGACCCCTGGTGGAGGTGGACGAGCAGGCCGGCCGGCTGGCGCTCTGCCTGGGCCCGGTGGCCGACTTCATGGCCAGCTGCTCGGGGTGCCCCCCGCCAGCGCCGCTGGGGGGGCCCCTGGGTGGCGGCGACGAGGAGGCCGAGGGCGTCGCCGCGTACCTCAGCGGCCTGCTGTGGTGCCCAGGGGCAGGGTCAGGGGTGGCGTACAGCCAGGGCGCTGAAGAAGCCCTTTGCGTTGGGGAGGGGCTCGGTATTGTTTGATTGTCGTACAGTTTGCCTTAGGTTTTCCTGAGGAGTTTTCCATGGGAGATCGGAGTTCAACTCGTGGAAAAAGGGGCCTCAGTTCCTTATCCAGGGTTCCTTAGGTCAACGCCCCGACTGTAGGCTCAGTGGGGGTTGCATCGACCCCCAATCGCCCATCCGTCGCCGATGGGGCCCGATAGCCCAGGCAGCCCAGGGACGCGCGGACTCGCTATCCAGGGGCTGCTGCCGATGTATCGGCGATGCACCGCCGATTTTCCAGCTCGACGCTTTCCCCCTGAACGTTTACCCGCAGGTGCATGGAGACGTATGTGCACGGCCGCACCCCCGACTTCCACTTCCTCGGCGGGCGCCAGCCACCCCCGCCTCCTCATCGTCGTGAGAAGGGAAGCAGCTGGAGTTTTTTGGGAGATTTCGGGCTCCGGGGGACCCTCTGGATGAGAAGCCGGCCCCAGGGAATCGGTTGGAGGCCTGGCAATTGGTACCAGCACTGACACAGGTGGCGGACTCCACCAGGGGAAGATCATTGTGGATGTTGGCGCTGGTGGCAATGTTCGTAGGCCCCCACAACGGGCCCAGACACCCAGGGGGTCCACGAATCCTGGGCACAGGTTAGTTTTTTTTGATCGTCTTGGGGCCCGACGGCCCGAGAGGCCGAAATCAAGGAAACTTGCCAGGATTCAACAAATTGGATCGTTGGAGATTTGGGTACAGTTGGCGCCCTCCGAGCTTCCGCTTTCCGAGCTCCCTGTCCTCACACGCGAGCGCCCGGCTGATCGCGCAGCACGCCGGAGATCCAGGGCAGAAGCGCGATGACCATGGCCACGATGTCTCGGGATTCCACGACGCCGATCTTGGCAATGGTCCGTGCCAGCCGCCGCCGATCCCGCGAGGATGGTCCACGACGTTGGCGGTGACCGAGATGGACCGTGGCCAAGGTCGACGCCGGCGTTTCCGCGTTCGGTCCCCAGACAGTGCGACGTCTCGCCCTTTCTCAGAAAAGGGCAGGGTGAGACAAGGGTGACGTTTTTGCCTTTTTCGCCTCCGAGGGGCCTCCTCGTCGCCACGTCTGGACGCAGCGTGAAAAATCAGTGAGTTTGGACCCCGGGAGGGGTCCGCGGACCGATTTTGAGCCGATTTGGCCAACGTTGTCTCACGGCCGTTGTCTCACGTTGCCCTCCTCCGACTTTCCCATGCGGGGCCCCCAGAAGCTCCGAGCCTTTCCCCAGGGCCGGCATTTCATCCCGAGCTGCTTTCTGACGGCCCCCGGGTCGCGGCGAGGGCCCCGTCGGGCGGAGCACGGCCGGACACCGCCCGTCGTGATTTTTCTCCACGGCGCGAGCGTCCGGGACGGCGGCGACGACGACCCTGCGGCAGCCAGCCGGCGACCCTTGAGATCCGCCGTGGCCCAAAGCTGCAACATCGTGAAAGATCACTCGGCACGAGCGACATGGGTACTCCAGATTTCGTAATAAAAGGGAGGGGGTCTGGACCCTCCAAGACAAGCCGTTTCAGACCTCCCCCGTGGGAAAACCCTCCAAAACACCGTCCCCAGACCCCCCCAGGCCCTCGAAGATAGCCTGGAAGAGACCCCCCCCGAAATGAGACCCCCCTCCCTTTATTACGAAATCTGGGGTACAACGCCCAACAGCAGTTCCTGTTCATGTTGAACAGGACTCGCTGTCGGCGTCGCCGCGGCCTGTGTACATTTGAGACAGAAGGCCGCCTGCCCAACAGCGGCCGCTGTTGGTTTGGGACAACATTTGTTGTTGGGCATTGTGCCTATTTTTTCCGTGCCCATTCCGGGCGTCCCAAATCACGACCAAAGCCCCAGACCCCATCTTTCTGCGGCGTTTTGTCCGAGCTGGATCGGTATGCGATGGTCGCGGGGCACGAATTGGCACGAAATTGCGGCGCCTGGATCTCAGGGTAGGCGCATTAGTCGGCGCCATGGTCCTTGATTTCTTGCTATCCAGGAGATTGCGGCTTCGGGCTTAAATCTGGACCTATCCCGCTCAATGGCTTCTCCATCGGGCTGAATACCCACCGGTCGTTGAAAGTAGGTATTTTTGGATTCCCAGATTCCAACCTACTTTCAGCGCCTTCCTACTTCAAGAGTCGAGGGGTTTTCCCTCTTCCCTCCTCTTCAGGAGGATGGCGGAAACCCAATCTATTTCCAACGCCTTCCTACTTCATGTTTCTACCTACTTCTTCCGACCGATGGGTACGGCTTCGGGCTTAAATCTGGACCTATCCCGCTCAATGGCTTCTCCATCGGGCTGAATACCCACCGGTCGTTGAAAGTAGGTATTTTTGGATTCCCAGATTCCAACCTACTTTCAGCGCCTTCCTACTTCAAGAGTCGAGGGGTTTTCCCTCTTCCCTCCTCTTCAGGAGGATGGCGGAAACCCAATCTATTTCCAACGCCTTCCGTGTTTCTCGACCTCCTTCTTCCGACCGATGGGTACGGCTTCGGGCTTAAATCTGGACCTATCCCGCTCAATGGCTTCTCCATCGGGCTGAATACCCACCGGTCGTTGAAAGTAGGTATTTTTGGATTCCCAGATTCCAACCTACTTTCAGCGCCTTCCTACTTCAAGAGTCGAGGGGTTTTCCCTCTTCCCTCCTCTTCAGGAGGATGGCGGAAACCCAATCTATTTCCAACGCCTTCCTACTTCATGTTTCTACCTACTTCTTCCGACCGATGGGTACGGCTTCGGGCTTAAATCTGGACCTATCCCGCTCAATGGCTTCTCCATCGGGCTGAATACCCACCGGTCGTTGAAAGTAGGTATTTTTGGATTCCCAGATTCCAACCTACTTTCAGCGCCTTCCTACTTCAAGAGTCGAGGGGTTTTCCCTCTTCCCTCCTCTTCAGGAGGATGGCGGAAACCCAATCTATTTCCAACGCCTTCCTACTTCATGTTTCTACCTACTTCTTCCGACCGATGGGTACGGCTTCGGGCTTAAATCTGGACCTATCCCGCTCAATGGCTTCTCCATCGGGATGAATACCCACCGGTCGTTGAAAGTAGGTATTTTTGGATTCCCAGATTCCAACCTACTTTCAGCGCCTTCCTACTTCAAGAGTCGAGGGTTTTTCCCTCTTCCCTCCTCTTCAGGCTTCAGGAGGATGGCGGAAACCCAATCTATTTCCAACGCCTTCCTACTTCATGTTTCTACCTACTTCTTCCGACCGATGGGTACGGCTTCGGGCTTAAATCTGGACCTATCCGGCTCAATGGCTTCTCCATCGGTCTGAATACCCACCGGTCGTTGAAAGTAGGTATTTTTGGATTCCCAGATTCCAACCTACTTTCAGCGCCTTCCTACTTCAAGAGTCGAGTGGCTTTCCCTCTTCCCTCCTCTTCGGGAGGCGGGGCGGAAACCCAATCTACTTCCAACGCCTTCCTACTTCATGCTTCTACCCACTTCTTCCGACCGATGGGTAATCTGGACCGATCCGGCTCAATGGCTTCTCCGTCGGGCTGAATAGGCCCTGAAACGTTCTCTCGGAGACCTCCCCCGAGTGTCTTCCGACGTCCTGGCCGCAGTCGCCGCGGTCTCTCCCCCCCAGTCACGAGCGGCGAACCTGTCCGTATCCGCCCCCTCGCTGTCTGGATTCCAGGGCGCGATCCCGCGGGTACTCCAGATCTCGTAATAAAAGGGAGGGGGTCTGGACCCTCCAAGACAAGCCATTTCAGACCCCCCCCCGTGGGAGAACCCTCCAAAACGCCGTCCCCAGACCCCCCCAGGCCCTCCAAGATAGCCTGGAAGAGACCCCCCCCGAAATGAGACCCCCCTCCCTTTTATTACGAAATCTGGAGTATCCGCCCCCTCGCTGTCTGGATTCCAGGGCGCGATCCCGCGGGTATGCGTCTCACGGATACGTTCCGCGCGGGGCACCCGCGAACAAACACTCCCCGTGTCCGCGGGGTCGCGGCCAGGGGGCCCAGCCCGCGAGGCCACAGATACGCATATGCTTTCCGCTCACGACCACAGGGGGGGTCAGCCCAAGTCGGAGGCCTGGAAATTGGCACCAACACCAAGACTTTTTGTCCTGACAAAGACCAGCCGCACGCGTACTGGCCAGAGGTTTGAAAAACGCGCAATTGCGCCGTCCTCAGTAGTGGACCGAAAGGACCGAGAACAGGCTGAGGAAGGCCACCGTGATGGAAGCCACCTCGAACAACGAACAGGCGAAGACGTCGGTCACGCCATCGAAGCCCGTGCGCTCGTGCCCGCATAAACGTGCCCCCCGATCACTGGGAGCTGCCCCCCCGAAGAGCTCCTGCCGCCAGCAGCACCGTCGACGCCTCATGGACCCCGACACCCACCACAAGGCCAGCATGCTCGCCAGAGAGCCGCTCGACCAGACGATCAGGGCGCACATCAGCAGATGCACCACCTGCGCCGTGGGCTCCAGCATCGTCCCCGTCGTAGACGTCCTTGCCGCGAATGCCCGCCACCTCCGTCCCATGCGCACTGGGGCGGACCTCCGTCGAAGACTCCAGTACCAGCCGATCGTCCGACACACCGTGAGCCCCGAACGCCTGAGCCAGAAAACCAGGGTCCTCTGCAGGAGGATGCACCAGCGGAACAGGGAGTACAGCAGCAGGCACTCCAGCAGCAATGCGGACACCCAGATCCCCAGCAGGAAGATCTCCAAACATACCGCCACGAAACCCTTCACTGCCAGGGTGGCCCGACTCCATGAAGCCGTCCTCGCCCTCGAAGCCGAACGCCGAGCTGAAGACGACTGCCCCGCACGAGCACCGAAGCCCGTGCCGCCGTGCCGGGACAGGGCCGAAGGGCAGCCCCGCCTCCCAGCCCAGCCGCGGGCCGGCGGCCGCCCAGGCGATGCCGCTGGCGGACGCCGAAGCGAAGCCTCCAGGCGGCACCCGCGCGGCGTGCCAAGCGGCGTTGCGGCGCCGCCTGGAGCTTCCAGGGACGCGGCGCCCGCTGGCCGCGCACTGGAGGGCAGGCCTAGACGCGAGCTCGCGGTCGCGCCATGAGCCAGGCTCGCCACCTGCGCCAGCGCGGCGGCCGATGGCCGCCACAACAGCAGCCTGCCGCCGCTTTCGAGCGGCACGGCGAGCCGCCGTCGGGCCCAGGGAGTCACCTTGGAAGCCAGAATATTACCGCCATCACCGAGATCGGGATCTTCTTCCCCCTGGTGGAGGCACACCGCCGAAATTGGTGTTGGTGTCAATCTCTAGGCCTGCGACCAAGGGGAGTCGGGGAGCGAGCCCAGCTCGAGGCTGATATTGTCCTTGTCCAGGGGCCGTCCGGGGGCGATGTCTCTTCTAACCCTACCTACCTCTGGGCCCACCGCGATGTCATGATTGCGAAGGCCTCCTGGCCGGTGCCGCCGATCCTGAATGGGCACGACGACGACGACCACGACGACGACGACGACGACGACGACGACGACGACGACGACGACGACGACGACGACGACGACGACGACGCTCGCGAGCCTTCGACGGGGCTCTTGTGGATCCTGTTGGGGCCTCTCTTGGCGGGCCGTCTAGATCATCTAGGGGCGTTCTGGTGTTGGGGCCCGCTGGAGCGCTTTTTGCGCACTTGTGGCGATATGGGGGGTCTTCTTGGGACGCCTTGGAGCGTGTGAGGCCCTATGGGGGCCGTCTTGAATGCCTTTTCGGGCTCTTTTGGGATGCCTCTTGGGCCGTAGTGGGGCTCTCTAGGGGAGGACTTGGGTCGTTTTGGAGCGATCTGGGGGGCCTCCTTGGGCCTTCTTGGAGCGCGAGGAGCTCGAACGAGGCGAGAACTCGAGCAAATCTGGAACAACCGTTAAGGGCATCGATGTCTTTCACCCCTTGGGTCTCTGTGGGGGGTGCTCTTGGGGCTGTTTTGTGGCGTCTTTGGTAGCCCTGGGGCTTTCGTTGGGGATCTGGAGCGCCTCTTGGGGTTCTGGCTGCCTCTCAGGGCAGAGGGCTTGAAGAGTCGGTTGGTGTTCCCCCTCTTGCAGCTCTTTGGGGTTTTCTTGAGCTGCCTTGGTCGGAGAGGGGTTCTTTGGGCCCCCCCAGGATCCCTCCCGGGACACCTCTTGGCGACCTCCCCCCCCGGCCCCCCACCGCCCCACATCGGCTAGGAAGGAATCAAAGGGAAAGGTTCCCTTCAACTCGAAGACGACGCTGTTCGATTTCTCTCTGGCTGGATCGCCTGACGAGGAGGGCCCAGGGAAGGGGGAGAATGGCGACGGCGACGACTGCGACGATGTGACGACTCAAACTGGAAAGGGGAGCCGCGACGGCGGCGCTTCCTCTGACCCCACCTTTGGGCCCACCGCGATGTCGTTTGATTGTTTCAGAGTCGGTCTTTCAGCGCGAGTCATGTTTGGACGGTCTCGGAGCCCAGCGAGGCCCCCTGGTGGCCGAACACTGGCGAAAACCTCCCGTCCTGATTTTTGTTACGCCGCGCGCGAGCGTGTCTGGGCTTCGGCCCCTCGACCCCAGGGAGAGCGACAGAAGAAGATGGGGTCGACCGCGCCGCCGACATCGGCGCGTAAGCTTCCCGCGTAAGATCGCGTGTGAGCGCCCTGGTTTCCAGTGCAGCGTGCCGCGCTGGCGGCCCGCGCAAGCCACCGCGCAAGGTTGCTGTGCCATCTCGCGTAGGACCTGTTTCTTTTCGTCGCCCAAACGTAGTGCAAAGCAGGGGGCAACCTGGGCCCTGGGACACCTCTGGCAGCCCTCCGAGCTAATGGCGCGCCGCGCGGGTTCGTCGTCGTCGTCGTCGTCGTCGTCGTCGTCGTCGGCGGCGGCGGCGGCGGCGGCGGCGGCGTCGGCGTCGGCGTCGTCGGCGTCGTCGCAGGAGGCTACGGTGGACCCAGCTGGAGCGCAGCGGAGCCGCTGGCGCCCCTGGCCTGCGCGGTGGCGATGCTGCCAGCCTCCGAGGTCCGCGCGCTGCTTCTGCCGGCGGCGCCCTGCCTGGGCCCGCTGCTGGAGCCGGGGCGGTCAGGGGCGCCGTTGGGGGGGCGATCACGTGACGGGCGGGTTCTTTACGCGCGCGTGGCCCTCTCGCCTTCCCAGAGATGCTCGCGTCGTAAAGTGTAGATATACGACGGGGGATTTTAGATTTTTCGGCCTTTGAGGGCCCTCGCTGGGCCGACAACGAACGGCTCGGGATGAAATGCCGTCCCTGGGGAGAGCCTCGGGACTTGGGCCCCGCAGGGGCAAAAGTGAGGCATCGCGTCGTCTGGGGGCGGAACGCAGAAACGCCAGCGTCGGCCTTGGCCACGGTCCATCTCGGTCACCGCCAACGTCGCGGACCACCCGACGCCGCAGGCGCATGCAGGAAGTGATTGCGTGGTGGTAAGCGTAGCGATCGGGCTCCAAGCATTGCTCACGCATCCTTTCCAAGAGGGCAATGGCCTCCTCGCATCGGAACGAGAACGTGTATACTTTGATCATGATGCCATAAGACTTTAAACTAGGCACCAGTTCACGGTCGGCCACCTGCGACGGCCGAGAAGGTCAAGACCTCGCACGTCTGGGCAACCGGCGGGTCCTGCACGCCGCGCGCGGCCGCACGCCGTTCTGGCGCCCGGCCCGCCGTGCCGCCGGGCGCGGTGGCCCTCCGCACGGTGCATCGGGCGCTCGGCCGCCCCCTCCCGTGTGGATCGGGCCGAACGAAGGGGGGGATTGGGAAAGGGGGGGTTACGAAATTTGCTGCATGCAGCTGGTTTCGGCCTCACCGAGGGGCCAATTCCTCGATACATGGGCGCCTTCCGGCGCCGGGCGACGCCAGGAAAATCAGCTACGTGAGCTGATTCTCAAACCCCCCCTTTGCTATCCCCCCCTTTCGCCCGACCCGAGTGGAGCGCGCGTCTCGCGAGGCTCGGCGCCGACGGGGGTCGGCCCACTCCCTGCGAGCTCCTCTGGCCGATCCGGGCTCTCGAGGCTCACCCGGAGCCCGCCCCGCTCCCCTTGCCCTCGCCCTCCGCCGAGCCGCGTTGGGGAGCTACTTTTAAAACGACGCGAAGATCGGGACAAAATCGGATCGGGATAAGTCGAAATCTCTGAGAATCGGCGGGTTTGGAGGATGTATTGGGCGCCGCGGCCGCTCCAGAGCGTTCCGGAACGCTCTGAGAGCGCTCCGGAACGCTCTGGAGCGATTTATCCCGATCCTAGCCCTGTTTGAAATTTGAATTTGTGGCCGGGCCTCGGGAGCGTCAAGGATCGATTCGGGACGAAAAACAAGTCCTGGCGAGATGGTCCAGACCGCCGAGGCCCGCGCATCGAAAAAGTTGGAGCGGCGGGTTTTTGGCCACTTTCGACGGGGTCGAGGATCACACCGCGTCGCCGATGCATTGGCGATGCAGCTCGACGTGGAGTCCGACCTTCTCCACGCGGACGTCGCCGACGCGCCGCCGACGTCGCGGGATGCATCGCCCAATGCCTCAGCGATGCGGCGCGATCCTCCGATCCCATCCACGCGGGCCCCAATTGGGACGGCCCACAGTCAGGGGGACAGTTCTTCCGCTGTTTTTGTCGGAAGGTATGTTTTGTTTTTTTCCACCCCGCGGTCGCCTTGGTCGAGAGCCTCGTGGGGGTTGCCAGACTCGCCCCGAGCGGCCGCTGGAGGCCAAAGTTATCGCCCCCCTCGCGTCGTGAGGAGATCAGGGCGGAAGGTCTTCTTGGCCATCTCTGGCCTCCGCGGGCTCTTGCTGGGCTTCGGTGGGCTTCGGGACAGTGAGAACGACCCAGTATGGATAGGGCGGGGGCGGAGTTCCGATTTTCGATGCTCGAGGTTTTCGGACGTTTTCGTTGGTTCTCGGCGGCTTTCCAGCCTCGGGGTGCCTTCCAGCGGCTGCGCCTCGCCGAGAGCGATTCGGGGGGGCCCCGATCACCCGAAACAGCCGCCGGAGAACCGAGTCATGGCCCGAAGACCATGGGAGGGACTATGGACAGGCTCAGCGGCTCGAGGGGGAACGCATCGGCACCCGCTCGCCCATGTGTTTTCGATCGGGGTCCGATAGCCTACCCCGTTGTTGGCGCGTGCGTTTTTTTTTTTTGGTTGTTGTTTGTTGTTTTTTGTTTTAATATTTATTTATGTATAGACACTAAAATAATCTTTATATATTTAATGTATAACAAAGAAAATAAAACAAACAAAACATAAAAACATTATCTATCTCGCGGACTCATCACCGATCTATCGGCCGATGTATCGCCGATTCCAGGTCGACGTCCCCCCCCGAGCAGTTTCCCGCGTCAACCCTGCGGGGACCAAAGGTACCAGCACTGCTGCTCCTCGGACCTCTCCCCGGGTGCGTCCTGACCAGGACTCCGTGGCGAATACAGCTGAGTCGACTGGACAGGCGCCCCATCCGGTTCTCGTGAGGGCGCCACGGCCGCCATTTTCCAGGCCTGTGCCCGCCAGGTTTGGGCCCGAGTTCGCTCTCACGAAACCGCGGTTTGCTAAAGGGGGTTCTGTCCATCCCCGAGTGGGGCAGCCGTACGACGACGAAGACGACGACGACGAGGACGAGAACGCGGACGAGGACGACGAGGACGAGGACGAGGACGACGGCGACGACGAAGACGACGAGGACGACGAGGACGACGACGACGAGAAGGACGAGGATGACGACGACGACGACGAGGACGACGAGGACGACGAGGACGTGGACGACGACGCCAAGTTATCGGTATCTCGTATTCCTCTCGTGCCGTTCCATCTCAGGAGCCGGGCGGGCTGCTGGGGGAGGTCGCCAGGTGCCAGGCCTTCCCAATGGGGCCCGAGCAGGTGGTCGGAGCGCCATGTGCGTCGGCGATGCGGCCCGGTGCGCAGCCCGATCTTCCCCACACCGAGGCGTCGCCGATGCATCGCCGACATTCGCCGATGCATCGGCCGCGCATCGGCGACGTCGGCCCCGGACGTGCGACGCCTCCACTTCTTCGAGCCGGGTCTCGGGCTGGACGAAAGGGGGGGATTGGGAAAGGGGGGGTTTACGAAATTTGCTGCATGCAGCTGGTTTCGGCCCCACCGAGGGGCCCACTCCTCGATACATAGGCGCCTTCGGCGCCGGGAGGCGCCGAGAAAATCAGCTACGTGAGCCGATTCTCAAACCCCGCCTTTGCTATCCCCCCCTTTCGCCCGACCCGAGGGTCCCTGGAAGTTCCGATCCTCTTCCCCAGAGGCCGGTTTCGCACCTCGGGCTGTTTCCTGGCGGCCCCGGGTCGACGAGACGTCAGAGGGACCTTTCGCCGGAGGGACCTTTGCTGCGGGCCAAATGGGCCCCCCGATCGCCGAACGCGAGGCGGCAGTGGCGCCTTGCGCGCTTGTGCTTGGCCCCCCGCGACACCCCAAACGCCGCGCACCAGAGGTCACTCTTACCCAGGGTCACTCTTGCGTGTACAGGGGGAACGAACAGTGCCATAAACAGAACAACTCGGAGGTCCGCGCGGATTTCTCGGATCGGCGCTGGACCCCTTTTTTTGGCGCGCGGAGAGCGCCAGGGGCGCAGGGCTCGCTTCGAGTCCTCCGATTCGATTCGATTTCGGTGGCTTCCGATTCCGATTCGATTCGACTTCGGATTCCGATTTGGACTCCGATTCCATACTGGAGGCATACTAGCCTGTCGATTTCCGCCGATTCGACTTCTCTCGACTCGGCTGCCGCTTCCCGCCGATCCGATGCAGTTCGATCGCCGATCCGACTTCTCGATTCGATTCTGGGCTCTCCTGGGGGCGGCGCCGGAGGCGCCGCCGGGGGGACCCAGCGCCGATCCGAGAGATCCGCGCGGACCTCCGAGTTGTTATGTCTATGCCACTTTTTGTTCCCCCAGTATGGAGGAGGAGGAGGAGGAGGAGGAGGAGGAGGGGAGGAGGAGGAGGAGGAGGACGAGGAGGAGGAGGAGGAGGAGGAGGGGAGGAGGAGGAGGAGGAGGAGGAGAGGAGGAGGAGGAGGAGGAGGCGAGGAGAGGGAGGAGGACGAGGAGGAGGGAAGAGGAGGGGAGGAGGCGGAGGCGGAGGCGGAGCGGAGGAGGAGGAGGAGGAGGAGGAGGAGGAGGAGGAGGAGGAGGAGGAGGAGGAGGAGGAGGAGGAGGAGGAGGAGGAGGAGGAGGAGGAGGAGGAGGAGGAGGAGGCGGAGGAGGAGGAGGAGGAGGAGGAGGAGGAGGAGGAGGAAGGGCCGAGCGCGGCGCGAGCCCGTGCCGTGCGCGACGCTCTGGCCCCCAGGCGCGCGGGCCCCGTTGGGAGGGGCCCCCGAGGCTGGAGGGCTGCGCCGAGTGCGCCGCCCTCGCCGCGGCCGCGACGGCGGCGCCGGGCGCGGGGAAGAAGGCCGAGAAGCGGCGGAGGGCCCTGGAGGCGCGAGCCGGGCGAGCAACGCGGGCGTCCATTGGGCGTGGCTTGGGGGGTCACAAATGGGGGGGGTCAGAAAAGGTCCCCTTTCGTGCCCCTTTCGGGCCCCTCCAGAGCCCCAGGGGGCTCGTTTAGGTACTATTTGGGTACCTTTTCGGACCACGCTCGCCGCCCCCCCATTTATGACCCCCCCATTACGCGGCGCCCAAGTCCAGCGGAGCGGAAGGCGGCGGTAGCGATGGGGGCGAGTAGCCCACGGGCGGGCATGGCACACATGTTCGCCCGGGAGCCCTTTCGAAGGCACAGATCAGCGGCGCACCTGCAACGCGGACGTCCAGCCGAATGGAAGTCGGCGGCGACGATGGGGGCGAGTAGCCCACGGGCGGGCATGGCACACATGTTCGCCCGGGAGCCCTTTCGAAGCCTTTTCGAAGGCATATGTATTGCTCTCCCTTGGGCTGTTCGCCCTATCGTCGCCTCGGAGGAACAGTCGAGGCGGAGGTTTTTCGCCGCTCTCGGCTGCCGGGGGCCCTCGCGTCGCGGAGGTCCAGGACCGTCAGGGAACGGCTCAGTGTGGGAGGCTGGCCCTGGGGAAGGGGTCGGGCTGTCGTATTGAAACGTTCAAGTGCCGGAAGTCTGGGGGGTGAATCGGGACGAGAGGCGGTTCAGAGGATTGTTGCATTCGAGGAAGCACAGCCCTGGATCCAGGCTCGTGGATGAGCGACGGGGCCCTTCTCCATGCAGAATTGGGGCACCCCGTGGCCAAGGCGAGCGGCTTTGGTATCATGTCTCGGGGGATCGTCCGCGTGGTTACTGCGTGCCCGATGCATGCAGCTGGTTTCGGCCCCGCCGCTGGGAGCATTCCTGTATGCGTCGGCGCCCCTGGCGCCGTCCAGGGCGGTCTCAACACCTCAATCCTGGGGCGTGGAGCGCTCCAGGGGTACCGCCAGAGGCGACGCCAGGATGTTGAGACCAGCCCAGACCATTCAGGGGGCCTATTGAGGCCAGCTGGGACTAATTACCTCGGAGGCCGCTTGTGCGCAACCCGAAGCCTTACGACTCCCTATCCGCCCGTAATGCTCCCGCCCCTTCCTTTCGGTCTGTCCTTGGAAGGTCCACCGCAGGGGCCACTCGGACATTGAAAACGTGTGCCTCGCGGAGCTCGGCGCGGAGGTCGCGTAGACAGAAAAAAACACGGCATAAGTAAGGCGGCGCGCCCAGGGGGGAGGTGAGAGGGGGCAGGTCTTATCGGAACTTCGGCGGGGCTTCTTTGAAGCCCTCGTGCCTTCTGAGAAGCCGTCTGTGTCTTCGGAGAATGCTCACAAAGCTTCTCTGAAAGCTGGAGGCCTTCTGAGCCTTATGAGAAGCCTCGCCTAATCTGCCTCCCCCCCTGAGCTTGCCGCCAAACAAGCATCAACTTTCGGAGGTCCGCGCGGATTTCTTGGATCCTGAGCTGGCCCCTCTCCCTGGCGCGCGGAGCACGACAGGGGTGGCGCTGGAGGCGCCGCCAGGGAAGTCCAGCGCAGGATCCAAGAGATCCGCGCGGACCCCCGAAAGTTTCCGCTTTGCTGGTTTTTCTTCTGGAGGTCCGGAGGCGCTGCGAGGCCTCGCCGCAGGCGGTCGGAGGGCACCACTTATATGCCTACACCGATCCTGGCCAGGCCGATCATGGGTCCAAGACAGGTGTACATGCCTTCCTGCCCGAGTCAGGAGGGCGTGTACAACGGTTCTGGGCCCAGATGAGCCTGGGGACGGGTGTGGGTGTGTACACAGACATGCGATGCCTCAATTTTCAATGCGGTGTCCTCAGAAGTTCCGGACCTTTCCCCTGAGCCAGTTTTGCATCTCGGGTTGTTTTTGGACGGTCCCGGGGCTCGGCGAAGGTCCCCAGAGGTGCGGAGGCGGAGGCGGAGGAGGCGGAGGAGGCGGAGGAGGAGGAGGAGGAGGAGGGGGAGGAGGAGGATGGAGAGAGGATGATGAGGATGATGATGATGATGATGATGATGATGATGATGATGATGATGATGATGATGATGATGATGATGATGATGATGATGATGATGATGATGATGATGATGATGATGATGATGATGATGATGATGATGATGATGATGATGATGATGATGATGATGATGATGATGATGATGATGATGATGATGATGATGATGATGATGATGATGATGATGATGATGATGATGATGATGATGATGATGATGATGATGATGATGATGATGATGATGATGATGATGATGATGATGATGATGATGATGATGATGATGATGATGATGATGATGATGATGATGATGATGATGATGATGATGAGGAGGAGGAGGAGGGGAGGAGGAGGAGGAGGAGGAGGAGGATAGGAGGAGGAAGAGGAGGAGGAGAGGCGGATGAGGGTGGAGGAGGCGGAAGAGGAGGAGGCGGGGGAGGACGAGGAGGAGGTGGACGAGGAGGAGGAGGAGGAGGAGGAGGAATAGGAGGAGGAGGAGGAGGAGGAGGAGGAGGAGGAGGAGGAAGAGGAGGAGGATGCGGAGGAGGAGGAGGAGGAAGATGAGGAGGAAGAGGAGGATCAAGAGGAGGAGGAATGTGCTGCTGCTGCTGCTGCGGATGATGATGCTGATGATGACGACGATGCTGATGATGCTTATGATGTTGATGATACTGATGATGGTGATGATGCTGATGATGCTGATGATGATGATGCTGCTAATGATGAGGATTCTGATGATGCCGCTGCTGCTGCTGATGATGCAGATGATGATGATTCTGATTATGATAATGGTGATGCTGATGATGATGATGCTGCTTTTGTTGTTGTTGTTGTTGTTGTTATTGTTGTTGTTGATGGTGATGCTGCTGCTGATGGTGATGCTGATCATTATGATACTGCTGTTGATGATGATGCTGATGGTGATGACGATGATGATGATGTTGCTGATGATGATGCTGATGTTGTTGGTGATGATGGTGATGCTGATGATGATGAGGAGGATGATGATGATGATGATGGCGCTGACGATGATGATGATGATGATGATGATGATGATGATGATGATGCTGGTGGTGGGGGTGATGGTGATGATGCTGCTGATGATGATGATGATGCTGATGATGATGATGCTGATGATGATGACGATGATGATGATGATGCTGCTGATGATGATCATGTTGTTGTTGCTGCTGTTGTTGCTGTGGTTGTGGTGGTGGTGGCGGTGGTGGTTGTTGATGATGATGATGCTGATGATGATGATGATGATGATGCTGATGATGACAATGATGATGATGATGATGATGATGATGATGATGATGATGATGATGATGATGATGATGATGATGATGATGATGATGATGATGATGATGATGATGATGTGATGATGATGATGATGTTGATGATGTGATGATGATGATGATGATGATGATGAGGATGATGATGATGATGATGATGATGGCTGCTGCTGCTGCTGCTGCTGCTGATGATGATGATGATGTGATGATGATGATGATGATGATGAGGATGATGATGATGATGATGATGATGATGATGATGATGATGATGATGATGATGATGATGATGATGATGATGATGATGATGATGATGATGATGATGATGATGATGACGATGAGGACGATGAGGACGATGAGGATGATGATGATAAGGGGGATGAGGAGCATGAGCAGGAAGATGAGGAGGATGGATGATGAGGAGGAGGAGGAGGAGGAGGAGGAGGAGAGGAGGAGGGGAGGAGGAGGAGGAGGAGGAGGAGGTGGAGGAGGAGGAGGAGGAGGAGGAGGAGGATGAGGATGGGGAGGAGGAGGACGAGGATGAGGACGAGGACGAGGAGGATGAGGAGGAGGAGGGGAGGAGGAGGAGAGGAGGAGGAGGAGCATGAGGAGGCGGAGGGGGATGAGGAGGTGGAGGGAAGAGGAGGGCGGAGGAAAGAGGGGGAGGAGGAGAAGGGGGAGGAGGAGGAGGAGGAGGAGGAGGAGGAGGAGGAGGAGGAGGAGGAGGAGGAGGAGGAGGAGGAGAAGAACTTGGAGGAGGAGGAGGAGGAGGAGGAGGAGGAGGAGGAGGAGGAGGAGGAGGACGAGGACGAGGACCTAAGCCACCTCCGCCCAGTGGGCTGGCGGGCTTTGATGGCCACGTCGGGCACAAGGTGCACTGGAGGCCGGCGAAACAAACATCGTATCGTCGGAGGTCTGGCCAGTCGGCGCCCCCCCAGGCGGCGGAGCTCGCGCCGCTCCTCGCCCTCGGCTCGGAAGTCCACGCGGGGGCGCCCGGCGTGGAGGCTCCGCCCGCCGAGGCCGAGGAGGCCGCGCCAGCCGGTCCAGCCTCGAGGCCGCAGGGGGCGCAGGACGGGGTGCGCGGCGTCTGGTCGTTGTTCCCAGCCGTCCTGGGTTAGGCGGCGGCGGCGGCAGCGGCGACGGCGGCGACGACGACGACGACGAGGGCGATGGCGACGACGACGAGGGCGTGTCCCGGAAACCGATCAAGGCGCCGATCTTCACGCAGGCTCTGCGGTGTGGACTTGCTGCAGTCCGGGCGGGCGGGATGACCCCCCTGCGATGGCACCGCAGCCGCGCTGTGCCCCTGCGGCGCAAGGGCGCTCAGACTCGGTGGATTTACTTGCTCGACCCTCTCGGTAAACAGTGGCATGCGAGTGCTATTCGCCAGAGGGGCATCGTCGGACGGGACGCCCGATGCGTCGTCCAGAGTCGCTGGATCTCAGAGGTTCTCGATTTATCTTCTCCCGACTTTCTCCTCTCTGTCCTGGATCTGCCTTCGTCCTAGGTCCTCGGTCTGAATCAGCAGCGGCACGCGCCTCCTCCTTCCTCCTCTCCTCCCCTCCTCCCACTTCCCATGCCTGCGTCTTCTCCCCGACTGCCAACCAGGTCGGCGCACCGCTCACGCGTCTCGTGACCCCACACGGAGCTCCGCCGAAGCCCCCACGGGCGACGTCTGGCTGTCGTGCCCTCGGGTCCGGGCGGCGCAGCCCTGTCATCACGGGCGCTCTGCCCAGCTTCGCTCCCGAACGGCCGCCGGAGGTCCGAGCTCTGGCCCGGAAGCCACCCCGGGCCCAGATCTCCAGCGATGAGTGATTCGCGATCCCAGTGCGTGGCGTCTTGTCGTCGTCGCCGTCCCCTTAAGTTTTGCGCGCTGCCATCTTTTCACGCTGGTCTTCTTGCCTGGTTTGGGGCCCAGGGCCACTGCAGATCGATCTGGCCCCAAACACATGTTCATCGTGATTCGTCGCGACGTTGCAATTTTTTTGCAACACTGGATCTCTTGGGGCGTCCGTTGGCTGCCGCGTTGTCGTCGTCGCCGTCGTCCCAGACATGCTTGCGTCATGAACAAGATCACGACTGAAGTTTTTTTTCCGTCTTCGGCCTCTTGACCTTTACCGAGCTTCAAGACCGTGAAGAAACGACTACTTTGGATACAACGCCCAGACCAGGGACTGGGTCGAGACTTCTTGGGGTCCACGTTGTGAGACAATCTTTGAGAGCGGGGGTCTGGGTACAAGGCGTGTGCCTCATTAGAAACGCTCATAGGCTTCTAATAAGCCCTCTTCGAAGCCTCGAGGCGCTTCTAAGAAGTCCCCTGCCTTCTAAGAAGCCCCCCCCTGCCCTACCTTCTCCTTAGAATGCCTCTCCCCTCGCGCCCACCCTCTTGTGTGTGCCGCCAAGTCATCCCGTCGTGTAGATGCCGTCGTCGCCGTCGTCCCAGACATGCTCGAGTCGCGGAGAAATCACAGACATAGGTTTCTGGCCGTTGTCGCTCTCCGGGGGCCCTCGCTGGGCCTCCGGACCTTTAACAACCATTTTGGATGCAAAACCGGCCCCGGGGAAACGGTCTGCATTTCAGGGGGCCCCGCGCTGAAAGTATCAAAGACGACGCATGTCTGGGGTTGTCGCTCGTCGTCGTCGTCGTCGTCGTCGTCGTCGTCGTCGCTGGCTGCCGCTTGTTTTTTCTCCTTTGCCTGGACTTCGTGCCCCTTCGCGGGCGCGCGCGGGGCCGGCTTGGAATGCTAGGACCCAGAGCGCGGTGAGAGTGGCCCTTCTCGCAGGAGCGTCACTTCCACAGATTTCCAGCGATTCGATTTTTGGTCGACCCTGGTGTTTCTTTCAATCGATCTGGCCCCGGGGGACCTTTTTCGAGCCCCGGGGCCACCAAGAGCGGATCCGGGACGAGCAAACTACCCCCAGGAGATGGGTCGGGGCCTCTGTAGAGCCGCGCATTGGAAGATCACATCGTTGGATGTCTGGGTCTGGCGCGGGTCCACAGGGGGTCCTCCGGTTAACGCCAGTACCCAGTGTCGTGTTTGTTTTTTCAGCGCCATCAACCATGGTGGTCTGAGCGCGCTGGGGCCTTGCCGCCGATCCAGGCCGCCCAAAGGGGAGCGAAAAAGATGTGGTCAGCAGCGGCGATGCGGCTCGATGCTGAGCCCTACCTCCTCGACACCAACAGTGCCGATTAATCGCCGACGTCACCGATGCATCGCCGACGCATCGGCGATGCGGCGCGATCCTCTGACCCCAGCTGCTCGGACCCCGTCTGAGAGGCCTCCATCCAGGAATAGGAGAAGGAGTATGAGGAGGAGGAAAAGGAGGAGGAGGAGGATGAGAAGGAGGAGGAGGAGTAGGGGGAGGAGGAGGAGGAGGAGGAGGAGGAGGAGGAGGAGAAGGATGCTGATGCTGATGCTGATGCTGATGCTGATGCTGATGCTGGTGCTGATGATGATGATGATGATGATGATGATGATGATGATGATGATGATGATGATGAGGATGAGGATGATGATGAGGATGATGATGTGATGATGATGATGGTGATGATGATGATGATGCTGATGATGATGATGATGATGCTGATGATGATGATGATGATGATGATGATGATGATGATGATGATGATGATGATGATGATGATGATGATGATGATGATGATGATTATGATGATGATGATGATGATGAGGACGAGGAGGAGGAGGAGCAGGAGGAGGAGGAGGAGGATGATGATGATGAGGAGGAGGAGGAATAAGAGGAGGAGGAGGAGGAGGGGGAGGAGGAGGAGGAGGAGGAGGAGGAGGAGCAGGACCTCGTCTCGGAGTCCTCTGTCCTCCCTGGCGGCAGGATGATCATGATCATGTCGGAGAAGGAGGAGGAGGAGGAGGACCAGTGTAAACCCACGAGGCATCAACGATGTTGGAATAAACCCTCCCTCCAATCTCCCTCTTCATATGCCCCTACAACCTTTCAGTTCCATTGAACTGCCCCTTTGGAAGACAACCGTTTGAAAACCTTGGAGCATGCCAAAGCATTATTCTCTGGCTTCCAACGCCACGGATCAACCTGACTGTTGCGTCTTGACAATCCTGAATCGTGGCAGAACGCCATTCTTGGGACTTCAACACAGCGGATCAACGTAACTGTTGCACCAGCATGATCCTGAATCCTATCAAACAACAATTTCTGGCACGTGGATGATGGCAATCCGTGGAAGTCTTGCAAATTCAAAAATAACGAATGATCGACGCGCTAAGGCGAGAGCCACATTCTGAAAAGGAAGCCCTCAATCCGTACAATTCTTGCGAATTAAAAAAAAACGAATGTGCGCCGCGCTAAGGCGAGAGCCACATGTTGAAAAGGAACCGCCCTCAATGCGTGAAACTCTTGCAAATTTTCAGAATAAGGCGAGAGCCACATGTTAAAAACGATCCGCCCTCAATCCGTGAGGTTCTTGCAAATTTAAAAAACGACTGTGCGCCGCGCTAAGGCGAGAGCCACATTTTGAAAATGACCCGCCCTTCATCTGCGAAACTGTTGCCAATGTTTCAGCTTCAGAGTGATAGATGAAGGGGAGGTCTCAGGCGAAACGTCCGGCTTACCCTAAAAACTGACTTCGGGGTGCGACAGGGAGAAGTTATTGATAAGGCATGGAGGAGGAGGAGGAGGAGGAGGAGGAGGAGGAGGAGGAGGAGGAGGAGGAGGGTGAGGAGAATCCCGTCCGGGAGGCTCCTGTCCCAAAGGGGGCACTCCCCGCGCGCAGCGCCTCAGGAGCCCGATGGGCCGCCGGGGCTGCCGGCGGAGGAGCCGCAGGCAGCCGCGGCGCGGCGGAAGAAACGCCGGCGCCAGGCGTCCGTCGCGCGGCCAGGGGCGGCGCGCAAGAGGGCCCGAAAAGGAAGGGGGCGGGCGGCGCGCGCGCGCGCGCGCGAGGTGGTGGTGGTTTTGTCGAGAGTTTGTCGAACGGCTTCGAGGCCGTTCGACAAACTCTCGGCAAAGCCAGTCGTGAGGTGCTCCGTCTTTTGTATCTTCTTTCGCAGTTTCCGAAAGGCTGCCAATCGCGCGCTCTTCTGCCCCCGCGTTCTTCCGGATGCTTAGCTCGGTGGTGATGGTGGTGGTGGTGTAGGCTTCTCGTCGTCACGGCTGGATCCGCCTCGTGAAATGGGTCAGGATGGACCCTGGGGGGAGGAGGACCGATTCTGAGCGGACTTGGGCTGGGTGGGGAAGCCGCCGCTGTCTCGGCCGGCCCTCCTCCGAAAAACGGCCTGCATCTCCCGGTGGGACTGGACGAGACATTCGCAATCTTCACGTCGCCGCTCCAATTTTGCGTGCTGTTTCAGGTCGGCCTCGTAGTCGGAGCGACCCCAGGCTCATCGCGCGCCGCGTCCGGGCGCGCCGTGGATGCAGGCGATGCTTCGCAGCATGGTCCAGCTGATAGCGCTACCCCTGCTCATGCTTGTCCTCGTGGTGGTGTTTGGGGGTGGTGGCAGGGCCGAGAGGACTGAGCTCCTCCGCTTCACGCTCATCTTGGGGAGCTTGCCCTCTCCTGCCTCCTATTGTGGCGTTCGCGCGCCTCTACGATATGGACCCTACCGTCGTGGCGACCTCGTTCCCTGCAGGCCTGGCGATGTCAGGACCCATCATGTGGGGCACTTCCAGCATATTTGCGCTCCTGGACAGAAGAAGTAGTGGCTTCGGTACCCCAGCACGAGGTAGAGACGATGGGAGCAGCTCATGGCGCTCATGGCTGCCATCTGTGTTTTCCTCCTTTTCCTGGCCGGTGGGAGGACGCGGTGGCGCTTTCCGCAGGCGATGCTTGCGACGTTTGCGGTTGCATCAGCGGCCAGACTCGGGTCGGGCGAAAGGGGGGGTTTGGGAAAGGGGGGGTTACGAAATCTGCTGCATGCAGCTGGTTTCGGCCCCGCCGCCGGGCCCATTCCTCGATACATGGGCGCCTCCCAGCGCCAGGAGGCGCCGGGAAAATCAGCTACGTGAGCTGATTCTCAACCCCCCCTTTGCTATCCCCCCCTTTCGCCCGACCCGACAGACACGACGGCGGCGACGGCCTCGACGGCGGCGACCACGACGGCGACTGCCGCCGCCGCGCTCCTCCGGCCGCGAGGGCCGCCCCGACCGGCGCGGGCGCGGCGTGGCCCATCCGCGGGCGGGGGGCAGAGCCCGGCTGCGCGCGAGGGGGACCCCGCTCGGGTCGGACAAGAGTGGGGCTGGGGATCGACGTTGGATGCGTACCCCTGCTGCTGCCCCCAAGCTGGCGGCTGCCACGGGGGGGCAGGGCATGGGCAAACAGCCTCCAGGGGCTGAATCTTGATCCATGCCCCCGCTTCGCCGCCCTGCAGAGTTCTGGAGGGAGTAGGGGGGTAAGATGTCGTTCGCCCCGTGGGGTCGGGGTGCGAGTTTTTTGGGCGCCTTCGTCTCTTCTCGGCGGTTCTCCAGCCTCGTGATGCTTTCCAGCAGCTGCGCCTCGCCAGGATCGTCCTGGGGGGTGCCAGGATCGTCCCAAGCGGCCGCCAGAGCCTTGCGTCATGGCCCGAAAACCAGCCGACGAGGATCACTAAGGTCCAGCGGAATTTTAGGGGGGGAAGGGCCAAAGGAGGGTTCAGACGTCAGCTGCGTGCAGCTGGTTTCGGCCCCGCCGCTGGGCGCCACTGGCGCCCCTGACGCCGGGAGGCGCCTGGGAAAGGTCGGCTGCGCGAGCCCATTCGCTAACCTCCCCTCTGCAATCTCCCCTGTCGTCCGACTGGACCCTCGCCTCGGTGGCCTCTGGTGCGGGCCCACTCAGAGGTTTGCGCCACCACCAACATCGGCGGCTGCCTCCATCAGGGAAAAGATGCGGTGATGCTGGTGACGTTGGGGCCTCCCAGGTGGCCGACAGCTTACCACCATCACCAAAGTCATCGTCCCCCAGTGGAGGCATCCGGGGGGAGGAGGAAACAGGGAGGATGAGGGGGGGGGGAGGGAGGGGGAGAAGGACGAGGAGGAGGAGGAGGAGGAGGAGGAGGAGGAGGAGGAGGAGGAGGGGAGGGGGACGAGGAGGGGAGACCCGTGTAATCTCAAGACGCATCAGCGATTTCGCAAAAAGCTCTCCCTCCAAGTTCCCTCTTCATTGGATCCTGCAAGAAATTGTTTTCATTGCGGGAAGTGCTCCGTTGGGAGACAACTGTCTGAGACTTTTCAATCGTGCCAGAGCACCGTTCCTGGGATTTCAACGCCGTGGATTTTGAGGACGATTAATATTTGACAGTTCCAAGTCGTGCCAGAACACCGTTCCTGCGACTTCAACTCCGTGAACCAACGTGACTGTTGAGTTCTGACAATCCGAGATCGTGCTAGAATGCAGTTCCTGGGCCCGTACGAATCTTCGACACTGTTGCAAATAATTAACGACGAATGTGCGGGGCGCTCAGACGAGAGCGATATTTTGAGAACGACTCGCCCTCCATCCGCGAAGTTTCTACAACCTTTTTAAGACGAACATGCGCGCCTCTGCGGCGAGAGCCACATTTTGAAAATGACTTGCCCTCCATCCATGAAAGTGTTGCAAATCGTAAGACGAGTGCGAGAACCATATTTCGAAAACGATCCGCCCTCTATCCTTGAAGCTGTTGCAATTTGAGACCAAAGCGCGCGGCGCTAGCGAGAGCCACGTTTTGAAAACCGTATGCCATCCCTCCGTGAAGCGTTTGCAACATTCACCCATTTGAATCATAGATGCCAGCAGTTCTTCGGCGAAACGCCCAGCCTATGAGCAGGGGGAGGATGTGGAGGTGGAGAGAAGTCCAGTGGTTCCCCCAAGACGCACCAACGACGTTGTATTAAGCTCTTCCTCCAAATTCCTTCTTCATATGTTCTTACAAACATTCATTTTCATTGTGGGAAGTACCCCGTTGGAAGAGAACCGTCTGAGGCTCCACAACCGTGCCAAAGCACCGTTCCTACGACTTCAACTCGCGAATCAACGTGACTTTTGTGTCTTGTCAACTGTATATTGCGCCAGAACGCAAATCCTCGGATTTCAACTCCGCGACTCAACGTGACTTTTACGTCCTGACAGTCGTCAGTCGTACCAGAGCGCCGTTCCTGGGACTCCAATCATACAAACTTCGACATTGTTGCGAACTTTGAAAACGAATGTGTGAGGCGCATAGTCGAGAGCCACCTTTTGAAAACGAGCCGCCCTCCATCCGTGACGCTGTTGCCAGCTTCTATGCCGAATGTGCGCGGCGCTCAGGCGAGAGCCACATTTTGAAAAGGATTCGCCCTCCATCCTTGAACTGGTTGCACTTGTTTTCAAACCAATGTGCGCAGTGCTCAGGCGAGAGCCACATTTTGAAGAGGTTCCGCCCTCCATCCGTAGACTTGTATCAAGTTCCAAGCCTCGGAGTCATACGTGGTGTGGAAATCTCAGGCAAAACGAGACGGCCCTTCCTTCAGACACGTCTGGGGGCGCGACATGGAGGTGTTATTTTGAGGAGATGGGATTCAAGGGAGGAAAAACCACCCGGACCGGAGAATTGGCGTTTACTAAACGGCCCTGGGCGTTTACTAAACAGCCCTGCCCTGCTTGATTCCCTCTTCGGGTGCGTTTACCAAACGGCTTCGCGTGTCGGGGTGGTTATCGTCGGGGTGGATGTTCTGCCGTCCAGGGATGGAGGAGGAGCCGAGGAGTTGCAGCTCGAGGAGGAGAAGGGGCAGGCGCCGAGCCCCCCCCCCGCGTGTCGGCGTCAGATTCGATTCCCACGCCTGCAGCGCCGGGGGCCTCCCGACCCCGTATGGGGCCTGCAGCTGAGGCAAGCGCCGCTTTTTGGCCTTCGGGGGGGCCCCCTCCTCGCCGCGGCCGAGCCCGGCTCGAACAACTGCTGCGTTTGGATCCGGGAGGGGCTTTGGGGACGACTGTTGACGTCGCCGCGCTTCCGCATGACATCAAGACGTAGGTCTTTCCCCCCAGCATTGCTTGCACTTGGGGCTTCCTTTTTTTATTTTCTATTTTTCCAGGAATTGGGCCTGGCTGGCGGTCTGGCGGCTTGTGCTCGCCGTCGCCGCCCAGTCGCCGTCCCGTCGCCGCCTAGCTCCTCCACAACGAGGATCCCCCGTTTTCGTATGGCAATCGACACATGATTCTGCCCAATCGTCCATCCTAACAAGGTACTTCGTATCATCTCAGCTAACCGGGTATCCTCCCTTCGCTTTTTGCAGAGAACACTATGCGCGATCTCTCGTTTACCAGAGATCATCAGTTTCCAAGAATCCCTTGCAACAGCTGTGACGAAGGACGCGCGCGCGCCGTGCCGAACGCATGCCGAAGTTCTTCAAAAACCATAGGTTTCGTAAGGATTCTAATATCGAATGTTCTGGAAACATGTAGCAATACTTGGTTTCGCAAAAAGCCTGCGCCCGCGCTCCAGCGAATTCAACTTTCCGATTCTTATTTATATATATATGTATATAGAAATGCATATATGTTTGCATGTATGTATGTCTGTCTGTCTGTCTGTCTGTCTGTCTGTCTGTCTGTCTGTCTGTATGTATGTATGTATGTATGCATGCATGCATGCATGCATGTATGTATGTATGTATGTATGTATGTATGTATGTATGTATGTATGTATGTATGTATGTATGTATGTAGTTGTACATACATATGTATATTTTTTAGGTATATACACATTGTTCGTTGTATGCGATTTTGCGTTTTGTTTCCCAATGTTTCCGTAACATGTTACCAACATGGCTTCTCTCGCGCGCATGTCGGAATCGCAAAAACGCCCCTGCGCGTGGGCTGTCGCAAGAACCCCGTGTAACAAATGAGACGAAGTGCACCCGCGTGCGTCGTCTCGCGTGCATGCCCCAATTCCTCATCCTTGTGTTTCGTAG